GTTTTCTTATTGGATCTAGAGAAGAGGCTTATTAAAGCCTTGAGGAAATCTGTACAATGGGATAAAGAAGAATTGAAGAGAAATCATATCCTATGACAATATTTGATTGAATTAAAGATTAAGACTGTTAGAAGTAAAGGATGGAATACAAAGTTGGTTTATTTGTTAAAGCTTAACATAAGACTTTTTTTGCAATGTTCTGGCAACCTTTTACTGACTTTTTTCTGGCACCAAGATTGAAAAGTTGATGTTTTATGGATTTGCTTATAGATAAAGTATGGGGTATGAGATGAAGAGATATCTGTAACCTTATAGAGGTGGAGAGTTAATAAATTTGTTTATATTTGTTGTGATAAAGGTTGGAATCACCTCTTTATATATTTCTTTTCTTTTCCTGCATTATATTCTCTCTTTCCTTTTTCTTCTTTTTCTATTTTCTTGCACTTTTTATTCTTTCTTTCCATTCTCTTCTCTTTCTGTAAGTTTAGTTTGCATTAGTTTTTAGTATTGAAATTAATTTTTAAATACAATTTATTTATTTATTTTTAAAAAGAAGCATTACTGTACAGCCAAGCCTGCTAGATTCACACTCCTAGGAAAAACAGCTAAATTAACATGGATGTTACTACCATGCTTTGTTTAATGTCTTATTAAAACCAAGACCTCTACTTTTATTATTATTATTATTCAAGTAGGATTGAATTGGTTTCCAACTATGGCTTGTTAGGATGAGAATAAAGCAGAGGTCCTGACTTTGATAAGACATTAAACAAAGCATGGTAGGAACATCTATGTTAATTTAGCTGTTTTTCCTAGGACTGTGAATCTAGCAGGCTTGGCTATACAGTAATGCTTCTTTTTTTACTTTGAAGAGTAGATAAGAGGGAACGATCAAATGCTAGCACAACCTTATTCTGAAGAATTCTAGCTAAATGTAATACCTGTATATGGTTTCAGTCCAGATTAGAAATCAAGACAGAGTCCAACTAGCTATTTGCATGCACACAACCACGCCCACACTAAAATTGGGGGGGGGGGCGGCGAAGGTAGATAGTACCAGTTTAGTACAATTTCAGTGGAATCATTGACAGAAAGTCAAAGAATTTACATTCATGAATTAATTTGGCATCAAAGGGGAAATAATCAAAGGAAATCAAAGAATTGTATAGCTAGAATGGAACATAAGGATCATGTAATCCAAACTTCTGCACTATTCTGGAAAACCAATTAAATTATCCACAAGAAGTGGCTATTCAGCCTCTTGCTAAAAATCTCCAAAGGTACAGAATACACAGTCTCCATAGACAGGCTATTTCTGTATCATCATGTTTTTCCTTAAATTTCCATGAAGCCTAGGTAGTTGCAACTTATACCCAGTATTTCTGGCCTGAGTTTTTGTGGCAATGGAAAATAACTTCTGACCATCTTCTTTGGAGCTTCCCTTTATGTACCGGAATACTTATGTCTTCCCTCAGTTTTCTTTTTACCATATTGAACATTACAAGTTCCTTCAGGCTGTCCTTATGGGGTATGTTCTCAATCCCTGTATCATTTTCATCACCCTCCTCTGAACTTGTTCTGACTTGTCAATATCCTTCTGGAAATGTATATAGTACTCCAACTGTGGTCTCACCAATGCAGTTTAGAGGCAAATAAGGGCTTCAGGTATCTTTGATGTGATTTCTGTTCTATCAGCTATCTCATAGTGCTGAGTCATATATGATTTATTGTCAGTGACCACACCCAAATCCTTAATGCTTCCAGTTCATTAATTTCCTATCTTGTATGTATACCCTATGTTTTCAGAATGCTGAAGACTGATGGTAGAAAAGCTACAACTGACAGAACAAAGAGGAAATGGAATGTGATAATGGAATATTTTGTTGCAGATCCTATTTTTATAAATTTTTTCTCTCCATACTGATCTGCAGAATAGTAAATGAATCCTTTTATATTTTATTTACGGTCTAATGAGAAATACTCCAAAACACTAATATGTTTAAGCTAAATATATCCTTGAAGTCAATTTAGTAGTACATCTACTAATGCTGCATGTTTATTAAATATGCTAGAAAACATTCTGGAAATGAAAGGTTAAGATTCTTGGATTTTCATTCACAATGCATGTTGGTATTTCTTATACTGCACAATGTAGTGTTTAATGAATCTAATGATAGGTTGAATAAAAATTTCTTGTGAAAGGCTATTGATATTAATGCTTCAATATTACTGAAGGCTTCATGCATTTATTATCTGCTTGTCATGTGTATCAAATCCTAAAGGCTACATCATAGTGACTACAATAGTACTTTCAGTATTCAGTATCATGAATTGCATGATACAAGAATATTTGTATCCAGTATACTGTACTGAACTATTGCAATATAAGCTATATTATTTGTAATAGCATTTACATTATAAAATTAAATATTGGTAAATAAAAATGTAAAATAATATACTATGCAATTCTAAATTAGGATTTTTTTTTTTTTTTTTTGGCTTTCAGTGTAGCATTGCCTTTCCCAAGATACAGTAGATGTATACAAATGTGCTGCAACCCTAGTCTCTGGCTAGGAATTCTGGGCACTATTGATTGATTATGTGCCACCAAGTCAATGTCCAGTCTTAGCAACCACAGAGATTGATTTTCTCCAGGAGAACCTGTCCCCAGACTGGTCCTTCCTGAGCACTATAGACCCAACAAATCTAAACATTATTCCCATGAACAATCCAATTGTTACTTCTTCTTCCAACTTTATCCCTTCCATCATATTAGAAAAACTAGATGTCATAAAGCACATGAACACCTCTGTTGTTTTACTTACGCACACAGGATGGAAGCTGACCAGACCAGTTGTGATCTTGCTGGCATATCCGTACAGAAGAACCAATAAGCCGAAAGCCAGGACTGCACTGATATACAACAGTGTCTCTATATCCATAATTTTCTCCAATCACCTGGCCATTAACTATAAGATCTGGAACTCCACAATGACCCGCTAAAATAAAGCACAGAAGTTTATGAAGCATTAGTTAAAAATGGGAACACCATTCTCTTCTACTATCAGTACGATTAATATTATACTTTCTTATGTGCTATTTTGATATTGCATTTTATATTTTACCTTTTCTCCATGCAGCTCATGTCTTCATGGAATAATTATAGTGAGAGCCAAAATAATGAAACTGTTAGAGTGTTAGATTTTAATGCATGTTCAAATTCTTGCTTAGGCATAACATTTATTGAGTAACCTTGAACTAGACAGTTTCTTTTGGCTAATCTAGTCTTGCAATATTGTTTGAATAAAATGAGTAATTCCCATGTAAATTGATCAGAACTATTTTGAAGAGTTAATTTTCTGTTGTGGTGCCTTCCCTCTGGAATGAGGTTTCTCCTGAGATCTGTGTGGCTCTCATCCTAAAGGCATTCTGGAGGGCCTTAAAGACCTGGCTGTTCTCCCAGGCCCTGACTAGGGTTAGGGTTAGCTGGATGTGCTTCTACAGCACATTGTGTTGATGGCTGGGGCAGGGTTAAGTTGCCATCTTGTTCTTTATTTATCTTGTTTTTCAATTAATTAATTAATTAATGTTACATCTTTCATCCTGTTTGTTATTTTGTGTGTTTTTAATTATGTTTGTTATATTGTGAACCACCCAGAGTCAGGCAGTCCCACAATGAAGGAAGGAAGGAAGGAAGGAAGGAAGGAAGGAAGGAAGGAAGGAAGGAAGGAAGGAAGGAAGGAAGGAAGGAAGGAAGGGAGGGAGGGAGGGAGGGAGGGAGGGGAGGAGAGGAGAGGAGAGGAGAGGAGAGGAGAGGAGAGGAGAGGAGAGGAGAGGAGAGGAGAGGAGAGGAGAGGAGAGGAGAGGAGAGGAGAGGAGAGGAGAGGAGA